GCTGTTCAGGCTGGTTTGCAGCCAGCCTGACTACAAACTGCTGTCTAAGGAAGTTTGAAGGCCAAAGTCACTGTGAGAACAAGAAGGATAAGGGAAGAGAGACCACCAATTTGAAGGATGAGACCCCCTTCTGGAATTTGCGCAGGTGCAGTCCTAGAAGGATGATATAATGGAAAGGCGGAGATTTACCTGCCCCTGGGTGGCCTCCTGGCACGTACCGGCCCTACGTGACCGGATGCCCCAGGGGATAAAATATGAAGGGCAGATTTGGGGGACGGAGACTCCCAATACCGAGGCCAATGTTGTCTCCTGCGGGGACGCCCGCTATGATTGAGAGCCTGCCAGTCCCTCCAGCCTGCTACCTTGGAGAGATGCGTGGTCTCGTAATTCTGCTGGCAAGTATTATTCAGTAAGTAATCTTTTCGTATTCACATGTACTAAGCAACTTGTGTTCATTTGTACTTGTATCTATGTTGTGTTAATTAAAGGCATCATTGTTATTCTATTTCTTGTCCTTGGATTACCGAATCCCGAGCCCATCTGGCACAAAACGTGAAATGGCAACTAGTGTTTGGTTATTGTTGGTTGAATGCCAACACAGGATGGTTAACCACTGCTGTGCCTAACATTGCTGAGCTCATCAGTACGATTCACGAGCAAGCTTATCCCAATTTTTGCTACTACTGATGTCGAAGACATGTTTTTCATGACCTGCTTTGCCTTCATTTGGGAAGGACAACAGTTTACCCTTACCTGATTACCCCAAGGATTTAAACATTCCCCCACCTTAGCACACCATACCTTAGCCAGAGAATTAGAATAAATTCCTTTAAAAGGAGAGGTTAAAATGTATCAGTACTTAGATGATATATTAGGAGGCAACCAAACAGAGTCAATAAGCAAAGCAGTCCACAATTATTAACCACCTAGAGAGACTAAATTTACAGATTCCACCTGAAAAGGTGCAAGCTCCTGCCCCAGAAGTGAAGTTTTTCAGAATCTGGGGGAAGGGAGGAGCAACATGCATTCCTGACCAGACTTTGTCAGCTCTAGACCAAATACATCTATCTACTTCAAAGCAAGAATTACAAAAAGAGCTAGGAACGTTAATCTTCTAGCAAAAACATATTCCTAATTTTTATTTAATAGCTAGACTTGTATGACTTGTTATGGAAAGGTGTTTCTTGGGATTGGACTTCTATCCATGAAGAAGCTTTGCAGTTATTAATATTTGATGCCTCTAGTTATCAAGCTTTGGGCCCCATTCGCCCCACTGACCCAGTTCAAATTGAATGGGGATTTGCTCAGTCAGGATTGTCAATCCACCTTTGGCAAAAGGAACTAGAAGGGGCCCCAATGCCCACTGGATTTTATTCACGTAGCTTTAAAGATGCAGAAAAATGGTATACAATATGGGAAAATCGGCTGTTTGTAGAAAGCCAAGCATTGCGAGAGGCAGAAACTATCATCCACCAACAGCCAATCATACTTAGAGGCCCTTTTAAAGTAGTAACACCTACCTTAGCTGGAACCCCACCCCCTGACAGGATGGTGTAATGCGCTTCCCTACAGAAATGGTATGCCCATATCGAACACTATTGTACCATCTTTGAAGTATCAGAGGGTACGCTCAAAAAATAGCTATAAAGAAGAATTTTCCCCAAATCATAAGGATAATCCTACATCTCCAGTTATACAAATTGCCCCTCCATTTTCTGAAACAGTTAGAAAAGGTTTGGTTCACTGATGCCTCGGCCAGATGTGAAGGAAAGGTATGGAAATACCAGGCTGTGGCCCTGCAGACCCAGGCTGAGGAACAGAAGGAGAAGGCAGTGCACAAGCAGGGGAACTGTTTGCAGTTTGGAGTGTATTTCAGCATTAAACTCAATCTTCCTCTCCTTTCTATATCTATACCAACTCTTCTGCTGTCTTTAAGGGGTGCATTGAATGGCTTCCCTTCTAGGAACAAAACGAATGGGAGGTGAATCGAATACCAGTACAGCAAAAGGAGAAACGGCAAGATATCCTAAGAATTACCAAACAAGGAAAATTTGCCATAGCTTGGGTAGCTTCCCACCAGAATAGAGGTGACCCGACTAGTCAGTGGAACAATAGACAAATTCATAGAATCATAGAATAGAATCATAGAATGCTTAGGGTTGGAAGGGACCTCTAGAGATCATCTAGTCCAACCCCCCTGCACACGCAGGGTCACCTAGAGCACGTGGCACAGGGCAGCATCCAAGCGGGTTTTGAAGATCTCCAGAGAAGGAGACTCCACAACCTCTCTGGGCAGCCTGTTCCAGT